GAGTTTCTCCTTTATTTTCCGCAGAGTGATATTTGCTTTACCAATTCACATTTACATACCAATTTGTAAGATGTAGAGCTTTGGTTCTGGCCTTAAACCATGAAACTCTGAAATGTTAAGGCATGTCCTACTGATGAGGGTGATAAGAATGAGATATTGTGGAGGCGCCACTTTTTGCAACTGGCCTTGCCATTGGAGGAGCTTAAGTGGTGTGTCCTTATCCAACTCTGCTTATTCAGACGTGTGCAGGTTGAAAAGGTAGTATTGGAGAGGTGCAGGAGAATGAATGCATTCTGTTTCCAAAGCAATTATTTTAATCACACACACCCCAAAGCAAACCAGCTTTGATCACAGGGCCAAAAGCCCATCAGAAAGCAAGCCGGGACAGAAGCAATCTTGCGAGATCGGCAGGAAGGCCAAAGGCAAACAGACCAAGTGAGATTCAGGGGGTGTTAGGGTGGAGCAAGGTAAAGGAAGCAGAACTCACAAACAACATGCAAAAACAGGGGCCTTTAACCAGTTCACTATCAGCCTGCTTCTTTTTTACATGGGCTCCTGGCATAGGAGCCAACTCCTAACGGCCAAGAGGTCTTTGCCCCGCCCCCAATAAAATATTTGCCCCAAGTTGATGAGTATTGCTATTCAAATGGTGTGCATGAGATCGCTGTGATCAGTCGTCATGTGATCAATCATGTAGGTGGGGCTTACCATCCCCTGTCCCACTGTACTATTTTATTAGAGTTGGCACCCCTGGCTCCTGAGAAGCTTGAGTTGGCAAGTGAACATTTCAGGACTGAGAAGCAAGCCCTGACAGCCAGAAATGGCCTCTGGATGATGTTGTCTGTTTCATCATATACACCTGGTGGCAGCAAGAACATGGTTTTCCAGTACATCACTGTGGATAATTTCCTATTAATGGATTGCTGTTGTCAATAATAGGTTGTTATTATTGGCATTTATATTCTGCCTCAAGGCAACACACCTGGTCCTTCTGCCATTTTATTCTTCCAACAATCCTGTGACATAGGTTAGGACGAGACAGCCACTTGCCCAAGGTCACCCAGAGAGTTTCATGGCTGAATGGGGGAACTGACTCTGGCTCTCCCAGATCCTAGTTTAACAGTGCACTACCATCAAAACACAAATACATTGTGATCATATTTGAATGGCAGAAAACCACAGCCATCCATATGACAGGCACTGCAGACATCTCTTTCTTTTATCCTGTATTCTGACAACTCCAGCTTGAGTCGTCGTCGTTTCTCTAGCCAGAGGGACAGTAAGAAGCCATGTGCACGGCAAGGAAGTTGGAGCTGGAATGTGGCTACCAATGATATGTTTCAGCAACTGGCTTACTTAAAGAGTCTCAGTGGGCTGGAGAACAGAGCAACCTGCAATTACAGGGAATGCAACTCGCAGTTTGGAAGATGCACATCTGGGGAAAGGCCTACTTACAATTTAAAGCTCTGTTTTCAAAACATCTTTTCAGTATATTACAAGGTATTGCGTTCAGTATTGGTGTAGTGTGGTGTACAAGATTGGGGGGCAGGGGAGGGAATCCCATGCAAAAACAAAATAAAAAGCAGAAGCCAACCCCAGGTTTACAGAAGCAGGCCTCTCCTGTTCAGCTTTCTTAGCTGTCAAAGCCAGGAAGTTTCAAATCCTAGAGAATAAGGGAGTTGGAGTGGGAAACATTTGTAAGATTAAGCTTTCCAAGTGGTTATGTGCAGTTTAAAATGCATGATATCAGCTGCTGTACAACACAGTGGTGTCCAAACAGTACTGTGATTATAGATATGTGGCACTAAGTGGGCTGAAAAGGTATTTCCGAATCAATGCAGAACGTTGCCCGGGGTGGGGTGGGGAGCATGGGTATGCAAAGATCCAAACCAGCAGTCCCTGGTTCCTAGTTTGAGAACCACAAAATGTTGAAGAAAGCAATGTTTATGTTTATCACAGTTTAAGCCGCACCTCCACCCATTTGCTCACTCTAAAAATGATCAGGTTTAGAGCAGCACTGCAAGATTCCATATTCCAAGATTCCAACCATTTATTCCACTCTTTCTGGTTGCATTCAGTTTTATATCAAACTGGCTATGCCATCAATGTACATGACACTTCAAAGAATAATAACCAAAAGACAGAGAAAACTACAATCAAAATTGACGGTAGATTGGAGAGAGACAATAAGAGAAGGGAATGAGAGGCCAAAGTAACAAATCCAGACAAATGCAGTTTTATATATATACGCAGACTGAATTTCAGTTAACACCTAAGTATTATTATTATTAATAACAATAATTTATATACCACCTTTATCTTCCAAGGATCTCAAGGTGGTATACATGGTTCTCCTCCTCCCCATTTCATCCTCACAACATCCCTGTGAGGTAGGTTAGGCTAAGAGGTGGTGACTGGCCTACGATCAGCAAGGCAGTTTCAGGGTTGAGTTTCAGGGGATTTGAACCCTCCTCTCCTAGTCCAATGTTCTAACCACAATGCCACACTGGCTCTTAAGTAATTGAGCTAAAGCCCTCAGGAAAGCAGAGGATTTTGAGCTGGCGTTTGAAAGAGTGGAACATCGGAAGCTGCCATAAACCATTAAATCACGTAGCTCAGTATTGTCCTCACTGACCAGCAATGGCTCTCCAGGTTTCATGCAAGAGACCTATGTGGAATATGCCAGGGAATGAACCTTCAGGCAGAGGAGATGCTCTATTGAACTACAGCAGGCAGGTGGCACCCTGTAAATCCTCCAGGAGGGAGTTCCAGGAGTTATATTGATTGAGAAATATCAAGTTTAGAATAGTACTATTGGGTGGCACTAGAAAAAGGGAGGAAAGCTAAGCAGCATGCAGGACATGGAGGGGGGTGGTTTAATTCAAGAGTATGACTACTGGCTACCTGACCCAGACCTGCATATTGCTCCTTGTGTACGCACACAAATGTTTGTCCCTGTGTCCCCATCTTTATTCCGTGACATTGTTTCAAGATGCAATGGCTCAGAGGTGGGAGGGGGGGGTGATGATAAAAGCCTGATCCATCTGACAAGGAGGTGGCTCTCTGTTTTATGTGGAACCTAGCCTGTAGGTCCATGTTGGCATCTCCATGTGCAGAGCCCCCCTGCTTCTTTGAGCTGTTCCTTTTGCTCACTGCCGAGTGCTGTGAAGAGCTTGGGGGGTCCGCCCAGCACATTTGTGGTTAAGGAACTCAGGGGAGGGGAAGTGAGCTATGGGGTTGTGTAAGACAGGCTGAACCAGAAGGGTAGCGATGTGTGCGTGCGTGTGTGCCTTTCCAGTGGCAGCAAAGTGAAGTCGGAGTTGTGGTAATTGAGGCAGATGGTTTCCGTTAAAGGATGTATGTGTGTTCCTTACCACATGACTAGACTCCAAGCCAATTAACAGCTTGTGACAGTAATGCCAGCGCTGCATATGGTGGAAATCTCCCGGCAGAAAACAATGAAATGGCATGATAGAGATAAAGCAGACCTTGCATGGATGATATATTTGCCATGCGCCACTCAGCTTCCTAGTTTTCGACTCAACAAGTCAAAGTTTTACATTAAATTTTAATGTAAATTTTAATGATTTAAAACAAAGTGGACTAAAGAATTTCACTCTTGGGGTAGGATACTTCATCTGCTAATTTGCAGATAGACTATACAGTGGTATCTCCGGTTAAGAACTTAATTCGTTCTGGAGGTCTGTTCTTAACCTGAAACTGTTCTTAACCTGAGGTACCACTTTAGCTAATGGGGCCTCCCGCTGCCGGCGTGAGATTTCTGTTCTCATCCTGAAGCAAAGTTCTTAACCTGAGGTACTATTTCTGGATTAGCAGAGTCTGTAACCTGAAGCGTCTGTAACCCGAGGTACCACTGTATTATGGTTAGTCTTAAATCTACTGCGCAAGGTTTGGGCATTTGTCCTGGCCAATGGGCATTTGTCCTGGCCAATGTGATGCAAAATGCAACAGGGTTTTCCTTTCTTTATTGAGTTTTCCCAATCAGTACAACGGACAATTAAGGTAGGCTAAGAAAAGCAGGTGCTTGGCTCCCATACAAGTTCATTAAGGTAAGCAAGGTACATTTTAGAAGAGCGGAACTGGTAAATCCAAACTGGATTCTTTGCAAGAGCCCCTGAGATCTGAAGAGCTTTGCAAGAGGTCATCTGCAACAAGGCATACTTATAGTGCTTGCTACTGGGCTGTTTTTTAGATGAGTCATGTGCATAGCTGTCAACTTTTCCCTTTTCTTGCGAGGAATCCTATTCGGAATAAGGGAATTTCCCTTTAAAAAAGGGAAACATTGACAGCTATGGTCATGTGCCTTTGTGCTGCTTTAACAAAACTCTGGACCAGGCCTGCACAACTTGTGCCATTGTATACCATGCCAAGCTACGTAGGCAGCCTACCAGAGCTGGGTAAATCTCTGCTTGTTTTTTGTTATTACAGCAATGCATATTCCATCTGCAGTGGCTCACACTGTGGGGTGGAGCCACTATACCAGCTTCCGGACAGGTGGCTCGCTGTTTATTACTGGAAGGGGCAAGGCAGCAGGGAGGTCAGCGCAGTGCTAATGCACTGGCAGATCCAATCCAGCCAATGTGTTTGCCCCACATGAGCCTCCCTGTTGCCTCGTCTCTCTCCCTCCTGGAAAGCAGCAGTGACCCATCTGCTGGGATGCTAGCATTGCAACTCCTCCCCCACCACCGCTACCACCTGGCAAACTGCTTCTGTATTCTGCCAAAAGATTTCTTGGTGGATAACAAGATTTAAAACGCAAAACTGAAAAAACATAGTATCACAATATATCATTCAATCTAAATATTCCACTATTTTACATAGGCGAAAGACCTTCATTATTCATAGGCCTGGTGGAGGAGGACCTTCTTCAGCTGGCACAGAAAGAGTGCCCATGTTGGTGCCACCTGAGCCTCGGGGAGGAGGATGCCCTTGCGGTGAAGGTGTTCCTGTGAGTCACAGAGCTGTACACCTTGTTCAAACATAGATCCACACACAGAGCTTCCTTGGATAACCTCAGAGCCTAGGCTGGACAGTTCACGGTGCTGTTTCCCTTAAGGTAGATGGGTCCTAAGCTGTCTTTATAAGTCAAAACATAAGCCTTGAATGCCCAACGATAAACTAGCAGCCAGTGCAAAGTCATTAAGGATCACACACTGTTATAGGGTCTCCTGCCACAAGACTCATTAAGATAATAGCTGCTGTATTTTGCACCAGTTGTAGTCTCCAGACCACCTTCAAGGAATATGTTCTTGTCGTTGTTGGCATTTGTCTGTCTCGAGAGACAATAGAGTGCGCCTCCAGGGGTCAAATCAAACTGTTGCACTAGCAGCACCAAAGTGACCTCCTGGGGCACAAGCCTGGGCATTGTGTATGGAGGTCCTGGGCTGCCCAGACGCCTCACTGGTGTGGACCAAAGGGAAGCAGAGCAATATGTTTGGCACCAGCTTGGCTGCAGGAGTTGCTGGAAGGAGACATGCAAGGTGCCATCCAACTGTCTTGGGGACTCTACTCCAAGTTTGTGTAGGGTTTACTCCTTAGCCTTTTCTTCTCCTGAAGATATCCTGTAAAGCAGTGTAGGTTTAGGATCAGAGTTTTCCTTCTTCTAGATGTGATGAACCCCATCTGCCCCTCACTTCCCTCTACATCAGATGCCCTTGGGAAGCTCACAAGCAGAGTTGAGATGAATTCCCCACTGTGCTAAATTCAGCAAAATTTCAGAATTTGTATTCATCTTTTTTTATTTTAAATCAAGTTTTTTCAAGCTTTATGTTTTATCTAGACAGATATATGTCTGAAATCTCATAGCTTTATCATTTTTAAAGCTTTTTAGCTCTTCATCAGTACTGATCCAAGTACTGATATCTATAGATATTTTTTACATCCTGGGTAAGTAAGAAATCCTTTTAGGCTGAACTTTATAAAGCTATTGTTTTCCCTTTCAGAAGTCTTAAGTTGTCGGGATATTAACCTATTATTACTATTTCATCATACCCAGAAAAAATGGGAACACAGATCACTGCTGTTATTTGTCTCAAAATGGTTCGATTTGGATTGTTTTGGACAGAAGCACTGAATGATGCTAATATTCTATTCAACTATATCATATACAGTGCTCTGATAGACTGCTAACCACTCCATCTTATTTATAGATAAATACATTTTGTTATATAACACTCACTCCTCTTTCCCAAACATCTAGTTGACTTTGTTCTCATCAAATGCAATCTTGGTGAATTCTGCAAGGAGTTATTTTAGTGGTCAGATATCACTTTGTTATAACAATATTTATTAGGGCAATGACTGCTTTTCTGATATTTGTATTTCCCCGAGTTCCTTTTACACTGTTTCATACAAACTTCTGATGCTTTCTTTCAAGCAAAAAGGTTCTTTTTTAAAAAAAAAACACCAGCAGGATTTCCCTGGGATACTTTTTTCATTTTAATGCTGGCAAGATATGTGAACCTCAAGGTGCAAATTCCTCCTTTGTAATGCATGCTTTGGTACCTCTTTCATGTTTTTCAAATTCTCTCTCTTTCTCTCCCTCTCTATTCTCGGCTTTTCATATGTATGAAGATGAGATTTATACCTAGGCACTGGGCTGAGGTGTTGGGGCGGGAGGGAGGGAGGGAGGGAGCAAGCCCGGGAGGCGTGGAAAAGCAGCTAGTTAGACCAAAGGCAGCTGCTGCTCTTCCAGGCCCAGTTGCTGCTGTGAATATCAGAGGCTGGGAAGAGGCTGTAAACATGGGGAAGGAAGAACCCATTGAACTGAAAGAACAAACTCTCCGGACCTGTCTGACACAGAGGTCAGGGGGTCACTGGAGCCCGGTGGAGGCAGTGTAGCAGATTGGAAGCTCGTGATGCCCCCTCCAACATCATTTAGACAAACAAGCAGATGGCAGGTGTCAGTGGTGACAAAGAGCCATCTGTACAGCGAGGACCGTCCCCTCCATTCTCTCACAGGCTACTTCATTAAACCCTCACTTCAGAGTGCCTATGCCATACCCTTTAGCCAATGGGGCCTCTCTAATAGGACACTTTTTTAAAAGAGAGAGAGAGAACTGCCTGCATTCTGCTCCCAGCTACTCAGAGACAGCTTATTTTCGTGCTTTATTTCTTCCAAAAAGGAAAGAGAGAGGTTATTAAAAATAAAAACAAAACAATAAACCCAAGCCAAGGAAATGTTTGTTGCACATGGTACAGGATCATCTGTGAGCCCCCAAACACAGGTTTCTTTCAAAAGATACACTTGGGCACCCTTGGTTTATGCAGTGAAAGAATTAAAGCCGAAGCCAGTTGCCAAACAATGAAGGAATCTGCCTTTGTGGAGGATGTTTTAGCTCTGGAAGATGGAGGCTTTGCTTAAGACTTCCCCTGTCAGCTTGCTTAAGGGACATTTTTTCCCCCTCTGCTTTTTTTTTTTTTTTAATACCCAGCATTTATCTTTGTGTGCCTTTCCTTTAGAAAAAGGTGTTGTTAACACTTGGGTTTTTAAGGACTGGCCTTTTGTTAATACGCATGTGCATACCTCTTTGGCTCTGTCAGAAATGAAACAGGATGGGAAAGAAAAAACGCTTATGGCCACAGCAACTTTAACTTGGCATTAACTCAGTCAGGAGCTGTTCTGAAAGAATTCAACTTGACTCGCCTGAGTTGAAATCCATCTGCGCACTTTCTGCTGTTGTTTTGAGCCAGCACCTCTCCAGAACGGGGCAGTGGGGGGAGGTTAGGCCTTTTCTTTTTAAACATATGGTGCAGAGGGTGTGGAGACGAAAGCAATGGGGCAGGAGGGGGTGGGAATTGGGAGCTTCTGGAAAATTTCCAAGCCACCCGCACCTCTCTGCCCAGCCATGCTTCTTTAGCCTCCCCTGCAGATCCCTGTGGAAAATGCCACTGGAATGTTTAGCTACATATCCACCCTTATGGGTAATTTCTGGGTTATTTAGCACCCCCCCCCCGCTTTTGTTCATCAAAATTAGAAAGTACAGTGTATACGATGGACAGTGTGAGAAGGACCGTGCCACATCGTTTTGTGTGGCTGTTCAGAAAAGCTATATATGAAAACTCACCATTTGTGACAATGGAAGGCAATTTAGATCTGGCTAGATTGAATTCCTTCCCCCACCCCCTTCTACATATAGGGGCCTGACTCCCTGTAAAATCTTCCCTTGCTGGGGTGCTTTTGGAGAATACCGTACTGGCAGTTGCATTAACAATTGGAAAGCCACATGAATTTTTCAGAAGAAGAGTATTTTATTTTATTTATTAAATTTGTACACAGCCCTACCCCGTGGATCTTAGGGCAGTTCACAGCATAATGCACACAAGCAAAATTCTAGATCCCTGCTGGTTTCTTCTGTGCCTGTGTTACCCCTGAAAGGCTGAGATGGAGTTTCAGGTTGACTTCCACAACTCCCACAACTGCTATTTAAAGTTTAAAAAACAAATGTGAACTGCCAAATGCCGTCTTTAACGTGATGTGTAGTTTGGCCCTCGTTTTAGCAATCTTAGGGCACAGGAAGGTCTACATTTCAGGGCATGCCATAACAGATACTGAAGAGCTGAAGTATTGAATCTGGGACACTTGGAGAGAACATTGAGAGAGAAAGATTATTCCATTATTTCACTGTAATACCACTGATTCTGTATCTATTATAGGATGCTTCCTCCTATACACGCATTGCCTTGCTGAAGGAAATGCACAAATAATTTTGTTTCAGGGTAGGTTTTCAAATCTTTCAAATGTGGATTCCATGGGAGGCAGGCCAGATTTAGCAGTTTAACAGATTTCATTCAAGGGAGCATGGAAAACAAATAAATATCAATGTAAGCTTATTGGTGTGAGGGGATTACTTCTGCTATGAACCTTAGTTTATTCGTTTTAAAAAATCTTTTTATATAGAAACTTCCAAAATAGTAGATCTTACCTCCTACGCCTATCCCATCCTAGATGGTATTAGACTCACTAACTGCTTCAGTGGACAAATCTATTAGTCATATCACACTTGGACTACTGTAATTCGCTGTTTGTAGGGCTCCCTTTGATGACTATCCAGAATCTTCAATCAGTACAAAATGTGGCAGGGAAGCTGCTAACTGGTGCATGGTATTGGGATCATATTACTCTGGTGCTGAAAAATCTGCTCTGTTTGCCAATTGTTTTCTTGGCAGGATTCAAAGTGCTGCTTTTAAGCTTTTAAGCCCCAAATGGCTTAGGGCCTGGCTATATAAGGGCCTGCCTCTCTTTTTATGAACTTACCTGGTTACTGAGATCTGCAGGAGACATGGGAGTAGCTGGGGGGGGGGCAGGAAAGGGCAGCTGCCCCCCTAAATCAATAAAATTCAATAAAAATACATAGCAAACTGAGGTTCTGCCTCCCCCCCCAAGAAAAGGTCTGTCCCCTCTAACAAAAATCCTGGCTATGACCATGGCAGGAGACACTATTGGGCGGATATGATCACTTACAAAAGTCCATTTGATGAGCATGTGTGAGGGGACTTCCTCCTTTGTTGATTCCAGGTTGTATCTCCCTTAAAGGTAAAGGTAAAGGGATCCCTGACCATTAGGTCCAGTCATAGCCGACTCTGGGGTTGTGGCGCTCATCTCACTTTACTGGCTGAGGGAGCCAGCATACAGCTTCTGGGTGATGTGGCCAGCATGACTAAGCTGCTTCTGGAGAACCAGAGCAGCACACGAAAACACTGTTTACCTTCCCGCCGGAGCGGTACCTATTTATCTACTTGCACTTTGACGTGCTTTCGGACTGCTAGGTTGGCAGGAGCAGGGACCGAGCAACGGGAGCTCACCCTGTCGCAGGGATTCGAACCGCCGACCTTCTGATCGACAAGTCCTAGGCTCTGTGGTTTAACCCACAGCGCCACCCGCATCCCTCTCTGTATCTCCCTTCTGTTTCTTCAAATCGTGGTTAAAGAATGTGAAAATGTAATTGCCACAATGACGAACAATATCAAATCCCGCCTAATAGAATGCCCCAGATTAAAGAACCTTGATTGAGTAGGCTGTATGTTCTGTGAGGGTTTTTTTTGGGGGTGGCTTTTCTGTGCTTCTTCAGTCAAGAACATTTCCCCTGCTGCACTCGCTGCAGTTTCAACCTGGAAGATCTGGTCCCCCTAGTCTCTTCGTCTCCCATCTTCATTCCTTCCACCCCCCTTTTTTTATTTGTTTAATTTAAATAAATTACAGGATGCTCTTCCTTCTCAATCAATGGCTGTCTAGGGAAGAACGGGAACAGAAGGAATATTACTCAAAGTTTCCTGAGCTCTTGTGAGCCTGCAGTCTGGCTGTCAGCTTTCTGGCAGATTTATGAGGACGGCCGTGACCGGCTTGAAAGGGCAGTGAGGGGAAAAGAAGGGATCCCAGCCCATTAGTAATTCCCTGCAGGAAAGTGACAGGTCTGATGACATGCATGGAACACACATTGCAGAAGATGGGCAGTGGGAAACATTCCCATGCAAAAGAGCATTCAGGACACTTCTGGCTGGAGGTTGTTTTCTCACTAATGACCCAATTTGAGGCCACCCATCCTTTACATTGGAAAACCCAACAGCACTGAGGTCAATACCCCAAAATGGGACAGATACAAAACTCATAAGCATGATATATGTATGAATAATGGGCAGGCAGGATAAATAGTTACTGGCAAATTGTGAAAGCATTAGTAAACCAGCACAATCAGACCTCCAAGTGAACTATTAATATCTTGATATATAATCAAAGAGAAAAATCTTTTCAGGGTCTCAGTCTATTGATGGTAATGCTCCCATTGTCTCCTGTGTTGCAGCACATCATCTTTAGACATGCTGGATTCCCTTCAGAATAGCAACTAAAATGATGGTTTAAAAATTAAATCACATTGGGGGGTTTTGGTACAGACAGTGACACCACAATGAAACGAGATCTACACAGGGCTTTGTGTGCCGTGCTTTAAGAATCAGCCAATCAAAATTCTGTGCCAGGACTGTTCAAATTCTAATCCATGAAAAGTTCAGTTCTGCAAATTTCATTTTATTCCCTGCTCATTTGCATAATTATTTTGTTTCTGCAAGTTACAGGAAGGAGAAAAAGGAGGTATGATGGGCACGCAAGCTTTGCTTTCTAATTAGTGGAAATCTTATTCAACCACTCCTCAAGTCTCTAGGATGTCACAAAGCATTACACACATATTTACATTTTTTATCTCTACCACCCTAAGGACTAGAAACTTAAAAAAATAAAATTTAAAAATGAAAGCTGAGATGTTCAGAGAGCTGGATTCATACATTCAGCGCCTTTTCATCCTTTGTGGATAGGGTGATTCCATGTTCAGAGGCTGAGAAAAGGAAGACTTAGTCAACCTTTTAGGTTACTTGAATTGAACTTAAGACCAATGTACACAACCAATGTAGCCTCCTTGCACCAGCTGGTTCCCGTCCCCCCTTCTGCTCATGGTGGATCCTTCTCACAGCATACAGTACATTTGGCTCATTTCTGGTAAAGCAAGTGAAGTACTTTGGTACTTTATCCCAGACTTCCTCAGTGTGCACCACAATGGTATGCAACATAGTTCAGTTGGTAAAGCATGAGGCTCTTAATCTCAGGGTTGTGGGTTTGAGCCCCACGTTGGGCGAAAGATTCCTGCATTGCAGGGGGCTGGACTAGATGACCCTCATGGTCCCTTTCAACTCTACAATTCTATTATTCTATGATCCTAACTACAAGCTCTGCTCACTACAGACAGGTCCAACACCTCAGTCTTCTCCATGATATAGAAGCCACTTTCTCCTCTCTGTGAAGGCTGGTGCTCATTTTACAGTATATACTTCAGTATGGGTATCAAAGAACAGTACATGAGCTCTAAACACACACACACACACACACACAGAGAGAGAGAGAGAGAGAGAGAGAGAGAGAGAATTTTACATGTATACACTCTTCACAATAAAAAGAAGCAAAGCCTGCCTTTTTTTAAAAAAAAAAAGTAAAGTTTACATTCCAAATATTTGTACTTTAAAGGCCAAGAGCATTTCTGCGAAAAATATGACCTGTATAAAAATTGAATTTGAAAAATATTCTTCACATGGGAATAAAGAAAAGTTCCACCTTGTGCATTTTGTGGACAGGGATCTGCTCCCATTCCCAAAGACAAACTGTAAAGTGAGAGTCATCCTTGAGTTTCTGCCAGGGGTGGAGATAAGGGAGCTGAGATAACGTCCCCATTCTCTCTAATGAAACCTACACCAGGCATTAATGTTGCTTTTATTCAACGCACGTGTGTTTAATTGTACAAGCCTCCATCTGTTGCATGAACAAAGACGCAAAGACATAGGAGAACTCTAATCAATCAGTCTTTTATCCCCCCCAGCCCCCCCCCCCAGATTAATAACTAGAATCAAATAAAATGAACAAGGCACATTCAAAACAGGTACTCTTCCAAACCAAGTTTCCAGGCAGTCACAAATTCAGTAACAATGGTAACTGGCTCTCTACCATGGCAGATGTTGGTGTATCGAGGATGCCAGTTGAAGCACAAAATGGCTCCAACGCACATCTCAATCTGAAAACCACTAGCCTGCATCAAACATAGTTCCACATGAATGTGCTTGGAATCAGATGAAAAGGCCACAACCCAGTGTATAGTAGTGGTGCTTGCAAGGGTGTGCATGTGGCCATGTGTACATGCACAACAAAGCTTTGTTCCCAACAGCAGCAGGTTGTGTTTCTAACTTGCTAAGCACCCGAGGAGCTGCTCTTGGGAGCAAAGAATTAAAGAAGCCCTGCTGAGTCTGCAGCGCTTACTGTGCAACCGAGTTCACTGTTGGATCATGGCCTTCACTTGCTCATCCTAAATCAGGTACATTCCTCAGTCTTGGCCTCAAAGAGTTGGCCTTCTGTCATGTGGGCGAAATACTCAGTCCGTTTGATTTGTGGTATGGCTTTTACCGCCTAGGATGCATGGGCCTGTAACCACTTAACCTGCATTATGTTGCCTAAAACCGAAAGCTGGAAACAAGCCGGAAGGGAATGTTAGAGGAGAAATGACAATATTTTCCTCCCTCTTGAAAGCAGCCCAATCCGCTCGCAAATATCACCGCTTACTTTTTTCAAAGTACTATCAGATTATTCTCAACTCCATGCCACATCTCTGTTCTTTCCAACGTGGCTGCTGTATTGTCTAGAAGCGGGATCTGTGAGCTCAGATCTCTCACAGGTTGCCTTTTAAGCAAACCAGTGTTTGCTCAGCATCAAAACTACAACTCAGTGCAGCTGTCATGTTGCCAGATTAACAGTAGTGACAGGTGGGGCTGTACAGGTGAGACTACGCTGCTCTCATGGCTTCCTAGCGCTGTGCGTTGTTGCCAGTTGCAGGGGTGGTGGCAAGGCAATGGGGAGTTTAGCGCCAAGCTACCTGGACCTAATGGTCAGGGGTCCCTTTACCTTTACCCACTGCTTTGCCCCTCCCACTCTTGGTAACCACCAGCCATGCAGGGTGTTGGAAGTCAGAAGAGCAATGCAGCCTCACCCATGCAGCTTTGCTGACTGCTACTGCATACTACAATTAACAGCAGATTGACATCCTCTTTTGCCTCTGGCCACCCTAGTTATAGGTAGGATGCCATCTTTGGTGCTAGATTTCCCCAGATGTATTAACCTTCCTTCTTGTCCACAACAATGTCCATGGTCATGAATAGATTCCACCTACCTCCCCATTGGTGGTAGAAAAACCACCAAAAATGGGAAAGTGGAGATATAGCTAAGAATGGAAGAAAAACATTGGAGATAAACTTGATTATTTTTGAAGTCATATTGTTAGTTAAGGAGTTAACTAGGCTTTGATGCTGGTTATCTATCTCTCTGTCTGTCTGTCTGTCTGTCTATGTATCAGAAAAGCAGACGTGGGGAAGAGAGTTTGGAGTTAGAAACAGCAGTGGAATGGTGTATAACACTTTTCCTGATGCAAGATGCCTACTCCAAAACTGTAAGCAGGTTTTACTCCCATCTGGATTAAAAATATATGTTTGCTAGCCCCCAAAGTATATGTGTCTGGGGTGGGGGGAACCTTGCAGACCATTTGAAATATGAGACTTGTGGATAAGGTTCAGACTCCTAATTTGTGCTTCCGAAACTGGGACCAATTCAGTTCAGACTGTTTCAGTCTGTTACACACTTTACCTTGGGTCCAAATCAGAACCACAATGGGAAAACTGAAGCTTTACACCTTCCCATTAACTATCTTGGGGCTATATACTATAAAATTGATCACTATGTTGACTATCTTGGGGAAAGTAATAAATGGCTATAACTTTTTTCTTTTTGGTAGAATTGAATGAAATTTGCAGACATGCCAAGTCTGCACAATGAATCTTCCAGAAACAAGGATACCTGCCAGTCATAAAAATCACACCATTTACTCAGTTTCAATTATAAAGTAAATTGCATGTCACAAGATGTTTCAGCAATATGATTGGCCAATGTAATGTATAACATTAAGTCAGTACTCATGCTCTGCACACACAGTTTGGAAAGGCATCATCCCCCTTTTAATAAACCTGTACATGTATGTACTTTTTCACTGGCAGCTTACAATACCAGTAATGATTTTGGTCCAGGATAATTTATTAGGATTAATGACAAACCCATTTTAATGATCCTTGATGGCACTTTGGTCCATCAACTCGTCTCAACCGGTTATTCATGACCTTTGATGAGTCTTGAACTATGCAGTTATTAATCTCAGGCAAATGATCTGAATCAATGAAGTTTAATTCAGCCTCTTAGGTAACAGAATTGTCTGATTGCCATTCATAGAAAGGGCTGTAAACAAAGAGATGGGTTCTAAATCACACACAAGTAAGCCAACCTTTCCAATATTAATCCATGTGAAGAGTAGAGCTTTAAAATCTTTCTAAATACTAATGTGGATTAAAACAACAACAACACCAATACGTTGCTTGTCTTTGTCCCCTCTAGCCAGCATCTTCCTCCAATGCTGTTTCCTTCATGCTCTCTTCCTGACAATGTCTCTGCCTGATACTGAGACATGAGAGAGATGAGAGACTGAAATGCTGGTTCCAGATTGTGCCCTAGGGATCATTAGAATGATCATAGGTTGCCAACTCTTTTGGACCTGTAGGGACATTGGCAAACCAGAAATGTTATTGTGGACACTGCATACACCACAACCAAGCACTCACCCTACCCTATTCTATGAGCTAAAATTAGAATTTAATTTAAACTGGGGGAGGGGGCCCTATGTTCACCAGGGAAGGCCTCTGTGAGCACTGGATTGGACTACAACATGGCAACATGGGTAGGCACAGCCATATGGTTACAGTTTTTTTCTGTTCTGTCTTGTTAATCTTGAACATGTGGTGTGGGTTTGACATATACATACATTAGAAAACAACTGCCCAAAACTTGGTTGAATATTTTTTGAGAGTATATGTGAAATGTGCTCCTTTCATTGTCTCCATCAGCATCTCCTCCTGTCCTGTATTGTCTATGAGATGTTAGCACATCTCCTTCCTGCCTCCATGGCTCCCTGGTTTCCTCACCTTCTGGGCCTTTGGCTACCTTGCCTTTCAAACTTCCTCCTGCCTTTTGAATTCCAGGCTCCTATAATGTCTACTCAGAAATATACACCAGGAAAAGCCTTGTGGCACTTTTACAAATGTTCTTGTGGCATAAACGTTTGTGGATTTGAGCCCACTTTATCAGATGCATGATGGGTTATCCTCAATTCCCAGGCATATGCATATGGTGGTAAAGGCGGAAAGGCTGGTGTTAAATAACAATGGAACCCAAAGGAGAACCTGTGACAATTCAGTAAGAGTTTAAATGTGTGCAAAATGACCCTCCACCGCAGCAGTAATTGGTGAGAATAAAATCATCTTAGCACTGCTGAGTAAAGTGACAATGTTAATAGAGTTTAAATGAGTTCAGTATAACTAACCCCCTGGTAAGTGTATGGGATTGTAGCCTGAGGCACACTCTCCTCCTGTCCCTAGAACCTCTACGAAGACCTGAATATTGGGTAAATATGATGCACTCATTTTGAAGATGGGGCAAGGTTAACACAAGTCCTTATACAACAGCAAATTTTTTGCCATCCCCTCCCCCTTTCAGATACTCAATTTTCATTATTCCCATTCCTGAGGCAGTAACATCATTTAAGTAGTTAATTTGTTCTGCTCTGTGAGAGCAGCAGCCTTGACACACAAAGCAATCAGAGGTCAAGGACAACCCGAAATTAAATACAGGAGCCCTTGTGATGAACCTCAGATGAATCTGGTGTTTTACGGAGTGGGCTGCCCCCTGGCAGGCTGCTGCCGTGTCCTCATAATTCCCAGTGATAACTGAGCTTGTCAGTAAGAGCTCAGCATCTCATGGCATCTGGCAAGGTGCACAGTGTGTTTTGAAGCTATGCTGACATGGATGGTCCTGCCTAGAAAGAAATATTGTGGTTACTGAAGGTTACTGTGCTTCCGAAGTGCAATGTCTCCATTGTGTCAAACCGTAGTTATGGATGTTAAAGAGTCCTAAGACGGGAGTGTTAAGCAGACTGGAAATGAAAGAAGTAGCTAGATGAATCCATGGCTTGACTTAGGATATGGCAACTTCACTTATGCACGGATGATGCATAGAATCATGGAATAGTAGATTTGGAAGGGACCCTGAGGGTTATCTAGTCCAACTGCCTGCAATACAGGAATCTCAACTAAAGCATCCAAGACAGATGGTCATCCAACCTCTGCCTAAAAGCCTCCAAAGAAGGAGAGTCCACTACCTTCCAAGGAAGGCTGTTCCCCCGTTGAACAGCTCTTACTGTCAGGAAGGTCTTCCTGATGTTTAGTCAGAATCTCTTTTCTTGTAACTTGAAACCACTGGTTCAGGTCCTAGCCTTGGAAGCAAGGAAAAAAACAAGCTTGCTCCATCCTCCATGTGACAGTCCTTTAGATATTCAAAGAAGACTATCATATCTCCACTCAGTCTCCTCCTTACAATACTAATCATACACAACCATTCAACATAAGGCTTTCCATACCCTATTCATCCTGGTCGCTTTCCTCTGCACAAATTCCACCTTGTCTATAGTACTCCAGGACACAGTATTCCAGGTGTGGTCTGACCAAGGTAGAAAAGTATGGGACTATTACAGCTGGTTCTTCCTGCCTAATTGTAGAACCTTACATTTGTCCCTATTGAAATTCATTTTGTTTGTTTGGGCCCAGTTCTCTAATCTGTTAACGTCATTTTGAATCCTAATTCTGTCTTCTTCAGCATTAGCTACCTTTCCCAGTTTGGTGTCATCTGCAAATTGAATGAGCATCCCCTCAATTACTTCATCCAAGTCATTTGTAAAGATGTTGAATAATAAAGGGCCCAGGGACCACTTTTAAAATTTGTGCCATCTAAACTCAAAACCATCTAAAATTTCACTAAACCACTATATAATACAATGTCTTTCATTTATTTTTACTGCCGTAATCTTATAACTTGAATCCTTATATTTTAATAAATCTGAAATTGTATAAATAACTAAAAATAACATCAAATGTCCAGTAACTAATTTATTAGAGAATTTAACAAAAACGTCCCTATATTGAATACCTATATATATTTCCCAAACAATTGGGAAAATACTAAGATTTTGATAAGGTTTCTTTTAGTCTATTTATTTTATAAATTTCTGCAAAGTTTCCAGTTTGTTTTCTGGATATATTTCCAAAAAATGAATTTTTGGAAAGGTTTCAACTCTAATGCATTTTGAATCTGATTTTCCTTGTTCTTTTACCTCAGTGCTGTCTGCAAATTCATGTTCAATCGATATTGTAGCTAAGCCAACATGCCTTTCCTGAGACATCGAAGAACATATGTACAATTTAATTAACTTTGGTTTGGGGAAATGTTCTACACCACTGGCAACAGAAACAGGGTCAAGAGAAAGCAACGAACGATAAACGCATTGGGTATACTGTCAGCCAAGTTATTTTTGCATATAAATGTCAGTACCTCTTGTGGTAGTGCATTGTTCAAAAGTTGTCTGCCAAAAACTTTTAATTCATTACATAATTCAGAAGCGTCAATGTCTTTGGCATCCCTGTGTAGTAAAACTTGCTCTAGATTTACACAGTGTTCCATAATTTGGGTTGATGTACTTTTCTGTAAACTATGAAAATTATAGAAGAAGCCAAACACGGAACTGATTTTATGCATCTGTGTGAACCTTTCATCAAGGGGTTGTACTGCGGTGTCAAGGATTGCAAAATAAAATATTATTTTGATTTTTTCCCCTTTATGGATTCTGGATACCATATGGTATTTTTGGGTGTTTGTGGGCTCAGGGCTGAGGGGAATAAATATGTGGTAAAAAAGCAAGCAAGCAGGACAACCACTCCTCCCGTACCCTATTCCTGACTAAAAATATTCATGCACCCTGTCAGATGCACAGTGTCTTCACCCCTGGTTCTGCTAAGTTCTTAAAGTGATGATTCACTGTTAGTTCTCTCTCAGCTTAGAAAAATATCACAGGACAGGCACCAACTCTTTTTCAGGACCCCTCAGGTTCCTCATCTTCCCTTCCTGAATCCTCCTCTTAATTTCTAGCAGCTGCAGGCACACTACAAGCTCAGAGACTCCCAGACCAATAGCTTTGAGGCCCAAAAGACTGAACTCGGCAAAATGAAGGATGCTGAGATATAAGTTTGTATTCTGAACCTGTTCCAGTGCTACCAGGCCTACTAAACTTTCATTAGATCTACTGAAATATGTGGTGATCTTCTGATTGCTGGAAAAATACCTTCAAGTAAGACAAATCTACTGATATTTGGCTTTACATGAATTTTATTTAAAGAGTATTCCACAACAAAGCAGCAATAAACTCTACACAAGTTGCTCCTCCAGCCAGTCAACTAAAGCTAAACCAGAGTCAAATTGGTATTTGTGTTGAGTGTACTGCTAAATAAGCAAGATGGCGCACTCAGCTCCCTCTACCACGATATTTTGTGTTCTCTGCAGAATCCAAGTTTTCAACCAATAAAGCTTTTTTCAGAGGATTCATAGGTGGTCTGCTTTAGACTCAGCCCAGGCCTATGACTGGCCCAGCCATTCTGAAGGGCCTGACTACTGAAGAAAGCCCAGAGGTATTAGTGAATCAATAATAGTTCTCTGGACTGGAACACAGATGTGAGGGAGATCTGGCTGTGGCATCAGTCACCCCATTGGTCTCCATGGTTGAGTCAACTGAATCTGGCTGTGCGGACTGGCTCACTAATGGGCTTCCCTCAGCCCCTCATACCCAGCTGAAGCTCTCTGGTTTTTGTCTTTTCCCTTCTGTTTTTCCCATCTCTGAAATGGCAACCACTGTAGGCAGCCACTTAGTTCCACTAGTGTTTAAACCGGCCCTAAATGGAGCTTGGAGACTTCTGATTGACTTTCCCCATATTTTTTGTGCTGCCACCCAGCTTCCAGTCTATTTTAGTCTATTTGAAACCACTGTGTGAATGTAATGTAATAGCCATGGCAATATCACCACTAGGCACATTCACAACAGGAGTGCACTTTAACAACCCAAAACGTTTGTTTGTCCCAGCAAGCTGCCCATCAAACTCTGGGTGATAAGAGTGAGGCTCTCAGTGTAACCCAGGCACAAGGAATGGCTGCCTTATTTGAGGGGATGCTCACATCAAAGGGAGGCCTTTACAATGCGAGTACAGTAACATTTGCATGGCTGCACTTAATCTGGCAGTTATTTATTGCTCTGGGTTAGAGAAAACCTTCGCACAGAAAGAAATCAAGGCCTGAAGCTCAGTCTGTGCCAAAATTCACAGATGGCCCATTTCTCATACGAGGCAGCAGATTTCCGAAGAACAAGAAACACCATCTCCCTCACCCCCCACCCCGCCGCTGCCACCCTGTAAGGGACTGTGGTGGAATTCAAGTGTTGTGCCCGCAAAGATGGAGCACCTGCAAGAGTGATGAGCAGGGTTTTCTCTAGTGGAAGCAAAGAGAAGATTCTACTCATGTGTATTGACTGCATTGATCTTTCATTTTACTGCCGTTACTGGGTTTTCAAAGGTGGCGTTTTGTCCTGGATCTTAGGCAAGCCAATAGTCAACCGAAAATTTGCAGCTTTTTGTGGCATTTTTGTTTTTTTAAAAAAGGTCAACAACTTTCGGGGCGTCTTGGTTTTTACTTTTTGAAATATGGCAACCCTAGTTTTGTATTGTAAGCTGCCTTGTGAGAACTTTTTGTAAAAGGCACAGTTTAAATCCATATAGAAATAGGTTAGCCAAATGCATGCAGTTCATGGAGTGTGTGTGTGTGTATATATATATATATATATATATCTCCTCCCCTTTCCATGGCCTTACACACTCACTCACGCATGCACACACACTCACGATCAAAGATAGTCCCACTGCTGGCCACCATCTGGAAAAAGATCTAAACAGCTCTATTCATGAGTCTCTCAAAATAATGAGATGTAGAAGACTAACAAGAGACACTGGTGGGCTATCAGCTCCAGCTGCAAGAACTAAACATCTCCCTGTGCTATTTAACATACTGGGTGGGGGTGGGAAATTCAGTTTCTGCCGCTGCCCAATCCCAAACTCTTTACAGTTAGACAAATCTAATATTTTTCGTGTGTGTGTGTGTGTGTGTGTGTGAGTGAGTGAGAGAGAGATGCAGCCTTTGGCAACCTGGTGCCATCCAGATGTTTTGCACTACAAACGGGAAAACAAATTGGCGGAGGCTGCATTAGTGGAACAGGGGAACATAGAAAGATGCTTTATTTATACCAAGTCAGACCACTGGTCCATCGAGCTCAGTATTATCTGTGCTGACTGTCAGACCTCACTGGAGGTACCAGTGGTTGAACTCAGGTTCTTCTGCCTGCAAAGAATGCATTCTATCACTGAGTTCTCATCCTCCCCTGACTGAAAACTAGCAGGTGGAATTAGCCACGAGCATTTGGCATTCTTTTCTTCCACAGGCAACTGCACACACCAGCCAACATTTGGAAATTCCAGATGCTATTAAATCAAACACCAGATGTCCTTGGAAGCTGTTCAGTAACTTCATAGTTTGCTTCTTTTGCTGCCAGGGCAACTATTTGGAGCCCCTCGAGTCACCTACGGCACCTGGTAGAGTACCTCATCGTAATAAAATATTACAGATCTTCAACCAGCACAATGGCCCTCTAGTATTGGTACAGTTAAACTGCATCATAATCACAGGGTTGTTTTCTTCTTCTTCTGGTTTTCCCAACAAGTGATTATGATGAACTAGTTCTTGTCATTCCACCCAACTCTAGTCTTTACAACAAGGGGAAATTGGCCTTTCCCAGCGCTTGGACATCTAATTGTACACACAGGCAGCTGGTTGAGGTCAGGCCTGATGGTGGCAACCAAAGCCATCAGGAGCTCAGTGGTTGCTCCATAAGGCTAGTTGGAGATGAATTGACACCTGTCCAGCACTCCTACCTTTCCCCTTCTCGCTCCCTGCAAGCCTCATTATAAGGCAAAACAATTAGGACAACATTGCACAATTTGAGATTTTAGAGTGTCCAACATTTCAGATCTTCTTGATCAACACACGAGGACTTACTTGCAATTAAACAGGCATAGGATAGTCCACTGCAAGTCTGCCTGTGTCAGAAAGACTATACAGTGATACCTCGGGTTAAGTACTTAATTCGTTCCAGAGGTCCGTTCTTAACCTGAAACTGTTCTTAACCTGAAGCACCACTTTAGCTAATGGGGCCTCCTACTGCCACCATGCAGCCGGAGCACGATTTCTGTTCTCATCCTGAAGCAAAGTTCTTAACCCAAGGTAATATTTCTGGGTTAGCGGAGTCTGTAACCTGAAGCGTATGTAACCTGAGGTACCACTGTACATTTTGCTTGTTTGGGCAATGATAACACAACTAAGGGATAGAAGGTGCTTTGTGAAGTCATGGTATACCAGTTGCATGTCAACAGGCAGCTCACCCCCACAACGGCTTGCGAGGTTGTTCTTTTTCATATTCCTTGTACAATATGAGCTTTTTTCCTGGGGGTACTCAAGAGTATGCAGTACTGGCACCTGTTTTCTAGAAGAAAGCACTGGTTAAAGGTGTGCCACCTACTGTAACAACCTTGTGTGAGCACCGGCACTTATTTCTAAAAGAAAAGCACTGAGTATAACATGTTTTGAACCAAAGTTTGATTTGCACTTCTGTACACACACAGGCCTACTGCAGTTCGTATGTACTACAACCCACTGAATTAGGAATGAGAACCATTGAAATAAGTGGGAGTAGTTGGTAGTAGTTGGTATTTGCGTGTTGTTGTATGCAGTGGTGCAGCAAGGCAAGGCCACGGTGGGATGTAAGGCAAGGTGGAACAAGGCAGAACAGGGTTCAGGCTGCATTTGGGCAAAGTCAGGGTTTAGAGTAGAGGCAGGGTGAAGCTCAGGATGTGCTGCAAAGAACACAGAGCTCTAGAGTTGCCCCAGCAAGGATCAAGCTAGAATTGAGCCCTTATCTAGCAGTCAGGTGCAATCTAATTGCTAGCAGCTTGACTTCAAGAGCCCTAGCCTTCTCCAGTAACCTCCTACTGGGTCTTCTGTCGTGGAGTTTTTTGAGTCAGAAGATGGCAGTACCACATCCTCAAGCTGTGGGAAAGGGTGCACTAGTCTCACAGGTTCATCAGACAGTGCTTCTGGGGTTGGTCCTGCATGCCCTTTCCTCTTCTGGTTCAGAGTTCTTGCCCTCATCTCCTGAAGATAAGGAATCTGACTCCAGGGTCACAACACATATAGAGTAGGATTGAACGGCATACCTTCACAACATGTTTTTGTCGTTATGGAGAGAGCATATTTTCCAGCAAAAAAATTCAATTCCACATCCCCATGTAGTAATAAAAATGTTCAGCATATTTTTTAATAAATATACACCCTTTCTAACATGAAAGTCATATGTGTAGATTCTATTCAGCGATGAATAATGAGTTGGGTGGCATCCTTCCAAAAATACACAAGGACTTCTAGAACAGCTGTGATCAAGATGTTCAGAAAGCTTTTGTGTTTTTATTTGCATTGCCCTTAAAAATGTGTTTACCAAAATATTTAGCAAGACTGACCTGCCATTTATCTTGCCTTTGTAATATTTTGTATACAGTGTATTCAATTTCCTTCAAATGAAATGAGCCATTTGACTAAGATGACCTGAAAGAGATCTGTCTAATGTTTCACTTCAGCTGCAATCTGGATCCCAGCTAAACCCTCTTGAAGTCAACTGTCCTCATCCACAAGGCTGTTCCATTCTGCTTTCAAACAGAGGAAGAGCGCTGCTATCTGCTGAAGGTTGCACTATATTGTCATGATACACTAGCATATAATAATCTTCCAGCTAACCAAGAAACAATGCAATGCCATTGGCCCACTAATAAATCTAACATACCGTTACCAACAGATTGCTATCAGCTTGAGATAAATGACAATTAATTGCCCTTGATGTGAAATCAAATACTTAAAAACTTTGCTAAGGCTTCTTGATCTGACCGTAGTACCGCATCTCTGATGAAACATCCACATCCATTTGTAATTTATCTTGAATATGAACAGTGGCAGAGGCTGTGTGGCCCGACAAGATCTAAGCAAGTGAGAACTTTACCACGTCTGTCATGAATTAAGCCTTTTAGATGCACAGACTGATGTTACATTTGGATTGCAGTGTCAGCCTCTTTGAAACCTGATGTTTTGATGCAGTAGGAGTAGGCTGGGTGGTCACTGGATCTGACTGATGAATCTTCCCCCTCACTTAGTACTTAGTAGAAAGCCACAGAGAGAAAGGGGACAGTCTACTGGGGTGTGGGTGTGTAAAGCAATAGCATCTATGTGGGCATTTAACATAAGAGTACTATTTAAAAAAAAACAAAAAACAGCTTCAGCAGAGTCTGGTGGTAGAAGGAACTGTGGTGTTTTTCTAAACATTGCTATATATTCCTATTATCATGATACACTGAAAGCTTTTTGAATTCCCCAGGGATGGGGAACCTCCAGTTACTGAAGCAGCAATGCTGAAGAAGTGTATTCCAGTTGCTTTCGCTATGAAGCAATGTATCAGAAGTTAAGTCTAAAATCTGCCAAAATCAAGTGAAACTGCCCACACCTGTTCACATGCAAAGAAGAATTTGCCTCAAGTGGTGGACTTTGGGCTTTAAAATTTCAGCAGCAAATGTAGCAAACTGGTATGCTCTCCTGCCAAGACAAAGGTAGACAGTTTTCTTAAAGTGACATTCTCTATTTCACAACAGCAAAGAATAAGTTGGCTAGGCCAAATTGCAGCAGTGAAGATGTGTATTCTTCCTCAATTTCTGTTTTTTCTTTCAGATCCTGTATCGACCAATAACTAAGGGAGGTCTTGGTGCCCCAAATCTTAAGTTGTATTAAAACTATTTCCAATTAAAACAGTTGACACATGTGATTAATAACTCAGCTTCAACTCTATGGGTCAAAATGGAACTGGAACCCTCACAACCCTCTCTTAATGCCTTACCATTCCTGAAAACTTCATGGGCTCACGTTAGCAAAAGAAGTGCGTCCGTTCTTCATGTGATTGGCATAAATACATATTTTTGTTATGTCCTGGTTTAACCCCCCCCCCTTTTCCTGACTTATTATGATTTTTTGTTGTTCCCTTTATTGTGAAAACTCTCTATGTAACTTATGCTTCTTCTCTCATAACAAAACGGCAATGGAGATTTCTTTAAAAAGAAAAAAAGAAGAGAATCCCACACTTGGATAAGAGGTGACAGGTGGCCAAAAATTGTCAATATCAACAAAGGGATGGGAAGGGAGAAATGCAAGGGGAATGAACTGGACAGAAAAGAGTTCTCTCCTTGAGCAGCCCAAAGCCATATGGTAATGAAAGATGTGCCTGCCTCTGTCAACTGCATTGACTACCGTGCTTTGCATACATACAAACCAGTTCTCAGGGCGGGCTGTTTGCAAAAGAAGAAGAAGAGGAACAGATGCTGCAGCTTCTCCAAAGGCGGTAGAGTGCACTGCTCCAGTGAATTGCCTGGAGCACGTTTCCCAAAGCCCTTGCTGGCAATGCTGTGGCCCTGCAACACCTCTAAGAGAGAGGCTGTGAGGCTCTGTGCTGCCACTGAGCTCTTCACTTAAGTCCCATCTGTTGACCAGCTGTGAAAAATGTCGGCTTGCAGTTAGAATCTATATATCTGTATCTTCTATCAGGTGGTCATTATGAGTGTCGTGATGAGCTAGCAGAATTCCTGCCATTGGATTAAGAGAAAACGAGGACAATCTTTTGCGGGGTTATTGCAAATATAAGAAGATGTCAATGTTAATAATAATATGGGCTTGGGGGGGGGGAAGGGTGCTGTCCTCTTGCATGGTTCTCAAAGCATGTGGGGAAGTATAAAGGAGAATAAACATTACATTTACCTTTCAGGCTGTGATTATGGACTGATATATGGCTGTAGCAAGTATGAAACCTTGATTAAGTCCATCTTCTCTGCTTCCCTCTTTCCCCTGTTCCATTTTTTTAAATAATAATAAATAATAATAATAATAAATTTTATTTGTACCCCACCCTCCCAATCCAGAGCTGGGCTCAGAGCAGCTAACATCATTTCCCACATCTATTCCTGAATCTGGCCAAATCAGCCTTATTTATTTATGTTGCCAATGCAATTCTGGGCTGCATCAATAGGAGTATAGCATCTAGATCAAGGGAAGTAATAGTGCCACTGTATTCTGCTCTGGTCAGACCTCACCTGGAGTACTGTGTCCAGTTCTGGGCACCACAGTTCAAGAAGGACACTGACAAACTGGAGCGTGTCCAGAGGAGGGCAGCCAAAATGGTCAAAGGCCTGGAAACAATGCCTTATGAGGAACGGCTAAGGGAGCTGGGCATGTTTAGCCTGGAGAAGAGGAGGTTAAGGGGTGATATGATAGCCATGTTCAAATATATAAAAGGATGTCACATAGAGGAGGGAGAAAGGTTGTTTTCTGCTGCTCCAGAGAAGCGGACACGGAGCAATGGATCCAAACTACAAGAAAGAAGATTCCAACTAAACATTAAGAAGAACTTCCTGACAGTAAGAGCTGTTCGACAGTGGAATTTGCTGCCAAAGTGTGGTGGAGTCTCCTTCTTTGGAGGTCTTTAAGCAGAGGCTTGACAACCATATGTCAGGAGTGCTCTGATGGTGTTTCCTGCTTGGCAGGGGGTTGGACTCGATGGCCCTTGTGGTCTCTTCCAACTCTATGATTCTATGATTCTATGACATAGTCCTCCAGGTGATGTGTAAAAGACGTAGAGACATCAGAACCTGGTCCTTCACAATCTTCACCACTCCTATACCAGTGCAATTTCTGTGTGGTGGTGGAATATGTCATTGTTTCTATTTATAACTTCTGTCTTTACTGCCAGGACTATGGGTGGGTTGGTGGGTGGGGCATTTGATTCAGTTCATATGCAAAGGTGAGCTTACCTAAGTTGCACTTGCAAAACGCAAACCTTTTAAATTTGCACTTCTATGAATTTTGCGAGGCAGTTCTCCAGCCAAGTAATGTCTACAAAAATGCAGGGCTAGAAAAAGGTGGATCATCTGGTTCAATTTTAAAGCCTCAGTACACTGCAGGAAGACCTAATATATACTATGCCACATTTCCCACTGCTTACTTTAATTCCTTGCAAAATTTCACCACAGCATTTTTATGGGCACTTCCCAGCAACCTGTTTATTGAGCATTCATCCCAATCTGTTTGCAGGGTGATTAGATGACATTTACTGTTGACATTTACCAGGACGTGGGTGGTGCTGTAGGTTGAACTACAGAGCCTAGGGCTTGCCAGTCAGAAGGTCAGCGGTTCGAATCCCTGTGACCGGGTGAGCTCCCGTTGCTCAGTCCCTGCACCTGCCCACCTAGAAGTTCGAAAGCACATCAAAGTGCAAGTAGATAAATATGTACCACTCTCTCGGGAAGGTAAATGATGTTTCCGTGCACTGCTCTGGTTAGCCAGAAGCAGCTTAGTCATTCTGGCCACATGACCCGGAAGCTGTACGCCGGCTCCCTCGGCCAATAAAGCGAGATGTGCGCCACAACCCCAGAGTCGTCCGTGACTGGACCTAATGGTCAGGGGTCCCTTTACCCTTTACCTTACTGTTGAGCAAGCATTCATTCCGATGCATTTATGGGGATGTTAGACAACGTTGCATCAAAGGAAATGTTATCCTACAGTTTCCAGGGCATCTTCTTATCACTTTCCTTACCACAAAAACTTTTAATCTTTGGGAAAACTGGGTTCGTTGCGTAAGATCTCCAATCGACTCTAATTGGCAACCTGAATTTGCTAGTATGTGATTGAATCCCACAGAAAACAGTGACTGTCTGGAAATTACCCTACTGTGCTATGCAGGGTGCTGGAATGGGAGCAGCAACCCTAGTGGCAATGATGGACACCAACCCGGATGGCTTTAAAAGAGGATCAGACAGATTCATGGAGGACAAAGCAACTAACCCCAATGGCTATGTTCTACCTCCACTGCTGGAGGCAGTATCCTTCTGAATACTAGTTGCTGGAAACCTCAGGAGCAGAGAGTACAGTTGAGCTCAGATCCTACCTGCCATGGACATTTGGTTGCCCCCTTTGAGAGCAGGATGCTGGACTAGTTGGGCCTTTGATCTGATCTGGCAAGTTTCTTCTTATGTTCTTAGTGTATATGTGTGGGGTGGGTGGGTTGGACAGAATTTCCAGCGCTCTTATTTTATTTATCTTTTTTTTCATCTTCTTTAAAATCCTTTGGTTACTGTTGTTCTTACATTTTGTTTGTGTTTGATCCTAGATTTATTTGCATTATGGGCTGGATTGTAAATCAGCAGTGTCACCAACTGTGACAGCTGGCAAGTAAACAACAATTTCAAGTGCTCTCATAATTGCTGCCTCCCCCCCCCCTTCTTCTTTCAAATTAGTAATTCCATTTTGCAATCAACCTGTCATTTAGCTGTTAGTGCTAAATTCAATTGCCAAAAAATTATCTGCTGGGAATCCAAATCTCTGTATTACTGCAGTTTATGGTTGTTAACGGTGTGAGATATTGCTAATGGTGTTTAATTATCAGTATTTCCAAATATGAGACTTAGAGATCTCCTTGCCCCCATATATGAGTTTTTCCAATTGAAATAGTTTTCAGAACAGTAATAAAACGATACTGCTTTGCATGCACCTCCTTTCCATGACTTCCTTGTGACCAGCTGCGTTCAATCAGTTCATCATTTTGACAGTCTGATATATAGTTGTGAAAAATATTAAACTGAATACCATCGCCCTGCCAGCAAAAATATGCATAAGATCAAGTAACATATGTTTGAGTCAAGTGCAGGCATCAGATGGTACCGAATTCCACAATATAAAAACTGGTAGGCTGCAATTCCATGGTGGTGTTCCCTTCTCCCCCAAAATTGATACCCCATTTCTCTTCTAGCTTTCCAGCAGAATGCCAGTGTTACCCGGCCACCATATTGAGTAGACTTGGACTAGGCAGATTTGAATTCAAATTCAAATTCCTGCTGAGCCATTAAGTTTGGGTCAATCATTACCTAACCTACATTACTGGGTTGTTGTGATGATAAAATGTAAGCCATCTAGGGCTATGTAAGTGGTCATAACACTAAACTAATGTGCTGACTGACCATAACCCAGCAAATTAGTTACAGTATGTGCCAAGTGGAGATCTTATTTATTTATAGCAAAATAAATAATAAATAATTGCCTCCACTCGTCAGCCAAAAAGGCCCTCAGAACATCTCACATGAGATCTATAAAAAGAAGACAGCCCTCACCCTCAGGTATACAGCTTAAAAGACATGACACATAAGGAAAAATAAATGAGGTGGGAAAAGGAAGACAAGCAAATTCAGTCTCCAAGTTACATGGCAGTGCTTTATAATGTGTTACAAAGAACCTGCTGCCTTTATGTATACTGCTAGCCTCCTGATTCCATAAATCTCTCATATTTCCTGGAGAAATTGTGCACTGCAATGCAAAAACTCAGGCAAGACAACTACAGCTGGTATTTGATTTTAATTGATTGATGACATACTCTCACTGGATATGCATATCATATGATAATGCCTCTCTTTACCTACCTGATGTCTAAGTTTAAAGAGAGGAAGCGGCATAACATAAGTTTAGGAGCAGATATCTGCACATGGTGCTTGCTCAGTACATAATTTTGCACTCATCACCTATGGCAGAACATTTAGATATGAGTAGTGTGCACAACTTTGAGTTCCTCTCCCAGTATTCTAGAAAATGTAAACTCTTCCCCTTGAAACTGAAACAATTGATTTTGTCACCTGAATACTACATATTGCTGTATTCAACTGATAGATAAAAAAGATATTGCCACATGCTTCCCAGTCTCTCAAGAAGGGAAAGGTCCCTACTAGGGCACCCGCTTCCCTTTAGATGGGAGAATCCTGGATATTTCCTATGGTATTCTTGTGATATTTGCTTTATTTACAGATATATATACAAACAAAGCATAATGATGTCAGATTTCAAAGCAGGCACAGCCTGTATCTGATTACCAGAGAACAGCTGTGACAGCCCCTTCTAGCACACTGTTGACACAACAAATGTACGAAGCTGTGGGTGACTGCCATGGCCATACACTGTTCCCTTGCCTCTCCCCTCTTCCCATTGTGCACTGGCTCTGGCATGAAAAGCTTGGTTTACATTAAACCAGAGTTTCCCATTACACTCAAACCAAGGAACTCTGGTTTAATGAGCCTGACCTCTTCACTGACATTAAGTTACAGTTCCCTGGTTTCGGAATTTAGAATCCCAATGCTGAAACCAGCATGTGACGGGAGGGAAGGAGGGACATGAGAGGAGGGCATGGCCACAGTGTTCATCCACCACTTTGTAAACCATGTTTTTTATGTATCGCAATCTGAATTGGATTCACACTAGCAACTTCTGGCTACAAAGCTTCTTTTGTGCACCGTTCATCATGAACTTTGCATGCTGTACTTGGACAACAGTAGACACAGGTTTCTTACTCCAGTAGCAACATGTTTGTCTCATTTGGAGAGATGGCTTGTCTGTTAGTGGCTTTGTAAGTAAAAATAAAAATGCAGATTTGTGAAGAGCAACACATGTGTGTAATAGACAAGTAGATGTGTTTATGCATGTATAAACGTCTATTATGCACTGTGGAGAAATACTGTATTTATGTCTGTTTATATTTTGAAGAGGAAATATTTTATGATTGCGACTCTCAGCGGTCAAGGCCTTGTACAACATGGCAAGCCTAGTTAGCAGTACAGATAGGTGACAGGTTCTGAAAGGGGAGAGAAAGCATGGAGAAAATACCATACTTTTTACAGCATGCACTACAAACTCCTTGTGGTGCCTGTTTCATGGGCACTGGGCCCAAACATGTGTTGCCCAGATCACTATACTAAAGACAGAAGAATATAGCAGCTCCTTTAAATGACACTGAATAAAGGAAGGGCAGGAACTGTGACCCCCTCTCCTTTTTCTACAATAGCTGCTCCCTACTTATGGCAATGGGTTGTCTGAAATGGTTCACCACAAGCAGAAGCTTGCAATTTTCAAAGGCAAGGGTTTGAGGGTGGCACTCAAAATCGCAAATTTGGATTGTGGTGAATGAGTGAGACCACAAGCAGGGGGAAAGCAGCTGTTACAAGCAGGGTGGTTGGCTGCACCAGCTCAGAAAGCACAATCCTATATATCTGCTGAGGAGGCCCATGGATTTCAGTGAGGCTTACTTCCACATAAGTGGGATTGCAACCTGAGTTTGCTATGGAGAGTAGTAGTAGTTAACACAATTGTCTGAAATTCCCTATGTCCAGTTTCTGGATGTTATAAACAATTTCTAAAACTTAGGTAAAGGTAAAGGGGCCCCTGATCATTAGGTCCAGTCGTGACCGACTCAGGGTTGCGGCGCTCATCTCGCTTTATTGGCCGAGGGAGCCAGTGTACAGCTTCCGGGTCATGTGGCCAGCATGACTAAGCCACTTCTGGCAAACCAGAGCAGCACACGGAAACACCGTTTACCTTCCCACCTTTTTATATACTTGCACTTTGACGTGCTTTCAAACTGCTAGGTTGGCAGGAGCAGGGACCGAGCAATGGGAGCTCACCCCATCACGGGGATTTGAACCGCCAACCTTCTGATCGGCAAGTCCTAGGCTCTGTGGTTTAACCCACAGCGCCTTCTTCTATTAATTTCTACCCTTTCATTCAGGATGGAGACAGACGCTGCATACTGTGAGTGGTCACAACAGATTCTTCACTTACAGTGCCAAGCTGGCTTTGCAACTAGTGGTACAAACAATCACACCAGCAAGCTGAATACTGGATGGGTAAGTGAGTCAGCCCTTATTATTGTGCTCCTCCTCTCATGCTTCAGGTGAATTGTGCGTCTTTTCAGAAGTTCATACATTTATGTTTATAGAGTGAATCTCCTTCATCCTACAGTTTTAAAGCTGTTCCAGCAATTGGGTAAGAGGTGTATCGGTGATGTCAGTGGAACTAGCCAGTACGTGCCCATCGCTGACATAATGCGATCAACATCAGGGAAACAATCAGCTTTTGCTAAGTTCAACCAGAAAGCTTGCCAAAGCCCTGGCAAACTTATTTGACCGAAGATCACACCGGGAAATAAAAGTGATGCATTTCTATAGAACACGTCAAGGATGCTGTCAGCCCACCTTATGCTGCATACACAGACCATCCTGTACAATCCTTCATCTGTCTCCACTGCAGACAGGTTTGTCAGGTCCACTGCCAAGATACTATCCATTCACTGGGCTACAAATGCTGTTCTTCGCAAGTCCTGCTATCAGTGAACACTGTTTAGGAAGTGCCAATATTATATGAGTGAAGCTCTGTACAGTACAAATAAATACCAAGCAAAAAGAACTAAGATTCAAACACTGCTGAGGAATGGCATCTGCTTTGTAAAAGACATCCAAATGTTCTTAAGAAATGTTCCCACTGCTCCTTTAATCAGAGCGCATTCCTCCAGCCATCTGGGATATTCATGCGAACCATTCCAACGAAGCCAAAGTAGCGTTGTCATTATGATGGCTCAGAATTTCTTGTTTTTTAATACCACCAAGGTTGGCTCCCTTTTTGTGCTTTCTTCACAATGCTTCTGAACAGTTCCTCTGATCTGTATAATGAAAATGTCAGATGAGGGATTTGGGTCCTCCTTTTTGCAGGGTGCAATATATGCTATGTTAAGGCCTTTAGGAACACACAAAGATATTTTGGGTCATTGTACTGAAAATTGTAGCAACATGTGCAAATGGGTTGGGCTTTGGGGAAAGCTGGGTCTCTGGTTTTCTTCAAGGGCTGTGGTCAGAGCTTGAGTCAGCACCTGGCATTTCTTGGGCAGCTAGTCTTGGCAACCTAGAAGCTTTCTCTTTCTCATTTTCATTCTTCCATATACTCCTGCAGTTCCTGGTTTGTGGACTTCAAGTGCAAGTAGATGCATCTTTCTACATGTATGAATCCCATAGACTTCTGCTTCTGAAGTCAGATCAGGACAGAATCTGACATCATAGCCGTTGCTTGCTGCCTTGTCCCTCCTCCTCTATCTCCCAGTAAGGAGCAGCAATGCAACCAACCAAAGGCCAGGTGGGCAGTGGCACTCCAGCATACTGTCTGCTACTATGGGCAGAATTTTGTTGTTGTGCTTGTCCCTCTCCATTCTTCCTGGCTTAAAAGATGAATCACACCTACCTGCCTGCCTGCCTGCTGTTCTCATATGTGAATGTAGAACTTCACCTAGGATGTCCTTGCAGAGCAATCTGGGCAAAGAAAGCAACTGCATACAAATGTTCTGCAAGTAGAAACCAGGACAGAAACGAAAAATTGTGCCCTGTGGATTTCACAGAACCATAGAGCTGGAGGAGGCCTTGTAGACCATCTGCTCCAACCCTTTGCTCAGTACAAGGAAATCCAGGGTACAAGAACCCCCAACAGATGGCTGCCTGTCTCCACAAGGCTGGCCCAAGAAATTTTGCTGCCCAAGGCAAAGGACAAATTAGTGCCCTCCCTCCATTCCATGTACAAACACCTGCCCTCAGCATCTGCTGCCTGAGGTGGCTTGCTACCTCACTCTGCCTAATGGTAGGACTGAACCTCTGTCTGAGGACCTCTACTGAGGGAGAATTAGTGTACCTTAATGTACCTATGACTCATTGTGAATCTATGTGTGTTCTTCAGTTCAAACACAGACTAGAAGCATGGATAAAAATCAAAAGCCTGATAAAGAGGAATAGCCTCCTGTAAACAGAGGTGTCTTTTTATGCTCTGAGTTGTCCTGAAACTAGGTAGAACACTGGAGAATGCCTGGTGGGATTTCAAAGCATGCTTGAGCCTGCCTCTGTAGCCAAGAAGAATTCCATTCCAAGGGGAACTGGGAGAGATGGCGCTTTCCAAACTCTGAATAACTTCTGATTGAATCACTTTGAAAATGTAAAGAACAGTGGGAGTTAAAGATTTCCCAGAATGGGGATTTATGAAAAGCAGAAGTTTTTAGCGCAACGTTTACCGTAGAACTTCTCTTTTGTTCAGTAAACAGCTGATGAACTTGACCTGGATTTGAACATCAGATTTTGAAACCCCCTCTGTCTCACAATAGAATTTCCCAGCATAAGAAAATATGAAACTGTGAGTTTAGCCTTTGTCCATCATAGGAACTGTATCAACTTCAGACATAAAATCATAATTCTGAAGAAAGAGATTGTGTGTGTGTGTGTGTGTGTGGTGCAAAAGTACTCACAGCACTGAAAAACAGCCATTGGCTGCTTCTCAGAAGTTATCATTAAGCAGAAAAGGGATTTTCAGGTGTGTGTTCAGTATACACGCAAGAGAGCACCACATATACAAAAACCCTAGCATATTTACATGTTAAACACCCATCCAAAGCTGTCTTCAATTTTGTGTTCTACTTCGGTTTATTTAGTTTTGTGTTCCAGGTGTACATTGGGAAATAAAACACCTCGGAGCTTTATGCAGGCACCACCAGCATTATCTTCCATGTTTGTATCTCCCAGGTTATGTGGGAAGAACAAAATGACAAAATCCTTTGGCAATATCCAGTCCTTCCATCTTTCATCCATGTTCCTTGGACCTTCTTGTCATATGTTTGGAAGGGCATTTGCAATTCAGTCATGTGCCTGGATCCTTTTATAACCATGAGGGTGCAGGCTGTGACCTTTAAAGCCCCAAACCAGTTTTCCCCAGCCTGGTGATGCCCTCCAGATATTTAATATTTGATCGCCAGCCATGCTGGTTGGGGCTGATTGGCGGGTACAAGGTTGGACAAGGCTGTCCTAAAATGCTTGGGCATCATCTTCCGTATGAAGCTGTTTATGAAGCTGAGGCTCTTCTTGTAATCCCACCTGTTTGAGAGGTGTTTGAGAGATGAACCCCAGAGAGACATGTCTGACCTCCTCTTCCCTTATTTTTAAGCAAGCACTAAACATAGTGTTGGTTTGTTTCTTTTCTTTGTGTTGTTTGACTAACTGCCTTTTTATTATATCTTAAACTTGTGTTATTGTTCTGTTGTTTTATTTCGTTGTATGGTATCTGCTTTAGATTCTGTTATAAAATCAATAAACGCATTAGCGTTCCTCTTTGAACTTGGTGTCCAGTGGTTAGAGTATTTTGAAGGCCTTTGGCATACAATTGGATACAGGTTGATTTTATTATAATTACATCTATGCTCTTGGCCTCTGACCACTGAACAACCATGAGACTATAAAGGCTTTAGAAGGAACTACATCTCAGTGAAACTGTGGAAAGGATTTTGCAGCTCTGCATTCCTTCTAGGATTATCCAGCAGGAGATAAAAACCACATAAAAGGGCATATTTCTTTTATATATGCTGATATATGTAAATGTATTCCAAATAATATTTTGCCCGTTATAATATATAACTCATTTGAAGCTGAGCTATAAAAATCACCATCCAGATGGAACCATAACCCTTAGTTCCTAGCAAAGTCTATAGCAGGGATGGGGAATTTGTGGAGCTCCAACTCCTCATCAAACCATAATGGCTCATTGTCAGGGATGATAGGAGTTGTGGTCCAGCACACACTGGAGGACCATAGACTCTCCATCTTTGGCCTAGAGAGTCTTCCTTCTTGCTATCACTATGGATTTTCCTCAGAAGAAGTTTAAAGACCTGTAACCATGGATCTGTAACCATGAATACAAGTTCTGAGCCTTCTGAAGAAAGAATTTTCTTAGTTCTTGTCTTCACCCTGTGGAGACATATCCTGATCATCATGAGAGAAACAAGAAAAATGCTCAGTATCTTAGAGACTAATTATTGCCATTAAGCCATGATGTCTAAAAAGCCTCATAATATTATGCAGCTCCATTAAATAATAATAATAAATTACTTGATTCCTCTGTGGCAGTTCTCGGAAGACTGCTTTGAAGATTTACTTCTCACTTAATTCATGTCATAGTAAATGACAAAAATAGCCAGCTACATTGCTTTATATCAGCTCCCCACTTCTGTGAGTGTTTGGAAATTCCCTGAGTCCATTTCCTTGTTGGGAGCAGGAGCAGAGAGAGAGAGAGAGAAAGAGAGCATTGCAAAGCTTTCAAGTTTTTGTATCGCTAGAAATATACACTAGGAATGGGTGGGTCAGCCTATTTCCGTTCTGTGTCAGTTCTGCATGTGCCTATTGATATTTCTATCCTGTTCTTTGCTGATCTTTTTTCAAAGAACAAAAAATGCATGTACACATTTTGTATATACATGCATTTTGTACACATTCTTCATTTACAATTAAAGATGGGGGATTTTCTGAATCCATTTAAAGAAAAGAAAAAAATGCTGTTAAATTGGCCACTTTTCATCCAGTTTGGGTGAGGCTTCTTCTTCTGGCAAGTTGCAAGCCTCAGACTTTCTGAGGATGTGGATATGATAGCAAGCAGATTATCAACGATTAAAGCCAGGCCCAGCTCCAGGTTTTTAAGGGCCCTGGGCAGGAAGGACACGCTCAGTGCAGGTACCTGACAGCACCATGAGGCTTTCCCAGTGGTGCCTTGGATTCCACCTTAGTAGCCAGCAAACGTGGTGGTGATGCTGAGCGGATCACCAGTCCAGCGCAGCATGCCTATACTCATCAGCAGTGTCCTCTGAATTATGCCAGGGCCAGAATAATTATGACAAAAGCACCTGTGAGCACTTTATTCAGTATCACCACCAATTGCCTTGCACCAGGTTGGGGTGCCTGGCAGCAGTGCTATAGTTGGACAGCTGCTGGTGACTGAGTGGCACCAGTGCACTGGAAACAAGAATGGCCTACTTAACATGGCAGCGTTGGAAACAAATCACAAGCTCAGTGTTAAAGATCTCCAAAATAGATAAATTACATTGTCCCTGTATTTATTGGGGAAACTGAACAATCCACAGAAGGAAGGCCTGGAGAAAGCACAATTGTGTCTCACTGGGAATGAGGAAACTACTGCCATGAGTTGAGAGGCTTAGTGAGGGGAAGACTGCTCCTCAGACATTGTGAGGGCCAATCACAATGGGATCAGCAGCTACAGTTTTGCTGAGTGGGGGAAAGATAATGGGCAAGTCATACTCTAAAATGTTCACCTTTTCCTTCTGATGTGGGCTTTTGTTTTGTTTTGTTTCTTGCGGCTCCTTTAAGTCCCCTTCTCTTTCCTATTGACATGGGGTTATGTGTTGCTTGTCTCTCAGCCAGCAACATCCATTCCACCAGCATGCATGGAAAGGGAGTAATTTCCTCAGCAGAGGAAACCTCTTTTATTACTCGGTAGGCCTCTCTTGGTTCCGATACTTCAGTTCTTCCTGGTTCACACAATCGGCCATTAGCTGCTGTTGACAGCGTCCCTCAACTGAGTCAACTAAAACAGTCAGGAGGGGAAGGAAGGGGATCACTTGTCTTAAATGCAAGTTGGCAGGTGACTATCAGGCACAGAGTGCTACAGTATAGTGCTATATCGGTTTACGAACAGCCCTGTTAACGAACTATTCAGTTTACGAACTCCGCAAAACCAGAAGTAGGTGCTCTGGTTAGCAAACTTTACCTCAGTCTATGAACAGAAGCCGAATGGTGGAGGGGCTATCATACTCAACCTATCAAGCAAGATGAAATGGTGTATCTGAGATATCCATGTCTGAATCTATCTATATAATTGAATGCTGCAGTTCTTCAGAAGTCACAAGCCTTTCAACTCTGCATGTTATTTTTTTCAGGGATGGGAACTGACAACCAAAGCAAAATGAAATTGAATAAATTATTTCTCCAATTTCTAGATTGTAGTTAAAACCAGAAGTGCTGAAGGGATAAAGGAGACAGTAAGAGACCAAGTCTTGTGAAATCCCTACAGGGAGTAGAAGAGACAGAAAGAATCACCAGGGAGAGAGATTTATTTCAGCTGAGATGCTTGCACCTTGAACAAAGCTTTTTAGTGTCACAAATAGCTCCATAGCAGAGGTGGGAACATGGATTGGTAAGCACAACACTGGTAGGGTCTTATAGTCATATTTGCAGAAGATCAGTGTAGTACAGGGGTTATAGTGTTGGACAAAGGCCAGGAAGACCTAGGTTGAAATCCCCACTCAGTCATGAATCTCACTGTGTAATGTTGGGCCAGTGTCACTATCTCAACCCAAGTTAACTGATAATAGTTGTTGTGGGTATTAAAGGGAGGGAGGGAGAATCATGTGGACCACCTTGCAGAACAGACAAGACAAGGATGCAATCAATAATAATGAGGAGGAGGAGGAGGATACAACATAGAAATATAAGGAGAGCCCTCCTGGATGAGATGAACTCCAGCATCTTGTTTCCCACAGCGGCAAACCAGATGCCTATGAGATGAGAGATTGTTTCTTTAGCATCTATAATTAGCACGGAGAGGGATCTACTTCCCTTCAGGTCTGAATGAACCTTCAAAGGGCCTCTGAACATCAGCTGGTTCAAATCATTGTTTTCTTTCACACAGTGGAGGGATCAAGGCTCTGTCATTTTTGAACTATGTTGCACTTCTTCTAGAGTGACTATATTCAGGTACATTTCACCATGTTGCTATGGCATCCTTTGCTCAAAGGAGGTCTTCTGGTGATCCCAGAATAAAGGGTGGGAGGTACCAACACCAATTTGCTGGCAGTGTCTTCAGTGTGAGCACCATTAGGGCAAACAAGCCATATGCAAGGCACATCTGATCTCTTGTACATCTCCCATTCATTCCACTGAAGCTTTCATGAGACAGAGGAGTGAATATTGCACAGAATAACCAAGCTGCATTAGCAATGCAAATATGTTGCTGGTTTCAGGTTGGGTTTTAATAACAAGGCTCTTAACACACCGTTGACAAGACAATGCCAGCCATTTCAGCACCAGGGAATCCATTAAAATGGAAATAAAACCGTTCTATCGGAAGTGGTGGGGAGACGGAAAATCCTGTGTTATGTTTAGAAATTACTAGTTAACTTATGCTACCCTTGGAGCTATGTAGGGACTAAGTAAAATGTCCACCTTTGAGACTGTTGGATGCTTTTCAGATTAACAGCATTATTTCTTTCAAAAACACTGTCCAGAATTATCTTTGTTTTGCTTTCAGTTTATTAATTCTGCCCCATCTTCTTGCCTGTTTCATCCCCCTAGAACTCACTACTATCTTTTTTTTTTTTTAAGAATATTTATTCAAATTTTAAGATTACAAAAAAAGAAAAAATAAAGCAAGAAAAACCAATCACATACATCTTACAAAAGAAACACACCATACAAGAAAAAAAAAGAAAAAAATACACAAGACAAAAAGTCACAATAACAAATAACAAAAGAAGAATTCAAATTAAACAAACCGTTTTCCCATTTACTTATTTCCGTGACTTCCTCTCACTTCTCTGCTTTGTATTCTAATTCAAATTGTATCTCCAGCAAATCCTTCTAACCTTCTTTTCATTCACTTATTTTAACATTTTAACATTCAAAAATATTTAATTCTCCTCTATCCTTTAGTTTACACTTCATATTTACTTAATTCCATTATACTCTGTCTGCCAATACGGTCTAATATTTCTTCTCCAACCTTTCCTAACATTCTTTTTATGTTACAGTGATTCTGTAGATATGTTTTAAACTTTTTCCAATCTTCTTCCATCAACCCTTCTTCTTGATCTCGGATTCTTCCGGTCATCTCAGCCAGTTCCATATAGTCTATCACTTTTCTCTGCCATTCTTCTCGGGTAGGCAATTCTTGTGTCTAGAACTCACTACTATCTACCCACTTAGCCTTCTTATATTTCAAATGTTACCAAAACAAACCTATGCGCATAGTCAGTGCCCTTTGTCAGTGTGTGAAAAAAGCATTGCAATAATCTCTGTCCTAGCACAAAACTTACCTACCTAGATAAAGCATTTATCTATCTATGTTTGTTTTGACGATATGGGGCAACTGCTATCATGTCCCCAAGATTGCTTCAGGCTCTTTGGCACTATGGGGAGCTTTTGGCTGTCTTCTGTAACATTTGCCTTCTTTAAGTTGCTTGAGTCATCTGGGGTAGAGCAGTGTCGGGGTGTATGTGTCATAGGAAGTAGTCTGAGGTGAGCCAGGAGCCATGAACCAGGGCTTATGAGACAAGCCAGTAGGCAGGACTGGAGAATAAACAGGGATCTAAAAGGCAAACTTTTGGTCAAAGGCACAATCAAGAAAAGCCGCTCCCCTTCCCCTGGGGGGCGGAGTTGCTGGAGGGTATCTGGGACCTCCCTGTGACCCAGGAGTGGGCAGAGGGATGCCGCCCACGTCATCAGGACTCCCAGCCACATCACACCCCCCAGCTGACCAATCAGGTTAGCCAGGGGGCGTGACCACATGCCGTTTAAACCGCGGCACTGCTAGAGGGGGTGGCCTCATTTCGCCTCCTCTTCATAAGCCTTGTTTATGGGAGGGGAGGTTGTTGCCTCCGCCTGACCCTCCTCGCTAAGGGTATCCCCTTAAAGGGATCCAGGGTTGTGGATCCTGTCCGAAGCCTGGGCGTGGGCTAGGACCATGCCACGACCCCATCGGGGACCCTGGGGGTGCTCTTAATTGATGTATATCATAGGGCTCCCCCTACCCTTAAGAGACTTCCTGTGGACATGCAGGAATCAGGATATAGTCTGTTTTCACCCAATGCCTAAGCCAAACCGCTCACACCTGTAACCAATAAAGTTGTGGCCTAATTTATCCCATTAACCCAAAATATTTGTGTCCGTGTGTTTATTATCTAAGGGAACTGCAGGGGCCCGGGGCCTTGTCACGCAAAGAGAGTCGAGGCCGAAGGACAAACCAGTAGGCAGTCTCAAGGAACAACACAGAAGTCAGGACCGAAGAACAGCCAATGATACAAGAATACGCCAGAGTTTGGGATGACCAGGTTGCTCAAGAAAGGCTCAACTGGAAATGACAACCCTCGTATATCCCTTCCTGTCCAAGAGATCCAATGGCCAGCCTGGAAAGATGGAGTCAGTCCAAAGCCTGAGGGCACTTCATAAAGGTCCTCCACCTCTCAGGTCAGGATCCAGAGAAGGGACACCATACTATGCCTAGTCACATTTTAAATGTTAAAAATGATGAAATTACTACTTGGATTGATAACAAAACATGTTTCATTCCAATGGGTCCATCTTAGGCAAAATGATTTGGAGCATAGGAACCTGCCTTAGTATTCTTTACACTGACAGGCAACCTGGCTCTCCAAGGTTTCAGATGAGGGTCTCTCTCAACCTTACCTGGAGATGCCACAGAATGAACCTGGCACTTCCTGCATGCCAAGCAAATGCTCCACTAATTGTCCATTCCAGAGCACATATATTATAATGATACAACACTGATTCTCTACACGTTCCTGACAATTCTCACCAGAGATGGATACAAGTCAGTGCCAGTGATGCCAGTAAGGTGTAATGTCCTTCTCAACAGAGATAGTTTGCATACAGCATTTCAGTGAATATCCTATATGGATAATATAATCCTTATTTTTTTTAAAAAATAATATTTATTACTTTTCCAACAATTTAAACACTAAAAAGACAATGCAATACAATACATTAAACTAACAAAACAAAACAAAAACAATAAAATAGATCAAACAATTTCATTATCCCATCTTTCATTCACTTATTTCCACGACCTCCTCACACCTCCCTTTTGTATTCCACTTCTGTTAATTATTTCAGCAATTCCTTTCCATGTTCCTCTGTTTTCTATCATATGAATAATATAATCCTTATGCTTTGTTGTCTTATATACAGAACGGGGGGGGGGACTTTTAATTTCATTTCCCCCCAGATTTGTATATATACCTCCCCTCAAAATGAAACATCTGTAAGAGAAGAGAATCCCTTAGCAGCCAGCTTTTATGTGTTGCACTAAATTAAATCTCTCGGTTGCATCCAGTCAATAAAAGGTCCTCCAATTTGTGGAGGGCAGGTGATTCAAACAAAAGTCCTTGACTGAAGTGTCTATTTTGCGTGGAACCACTAATGGTATTCTGTAACATTCAGCATAATGTATAGTATTATGTACAACAACAAACAAAGATATGACTAAAAGTCTTCCCTGGGCCAAGGCTTCCTTAAAAAAAGATATCCTTCACATACTTTACTTTTCAAGTGCATTTTTAACTGTTTGGATCATTTCTCTGTGTTGTATTTTCTGGACTATGTTGTTCTTCTGTCCCAAAGCTCTTTAAAAAAAATAATAATCAAAGATTTCTTTCTTTCTTTCTTTCTTTCTTTCTTTCTTTCTTTCTTTCTTTCTTTCTTTCTTTCTTCTTGCTTGTCCTGCCAAATTAGCTGTGGTACCATGGAGATGTGGCATCAGCAATCCTTGTTTGTTTTATATCTTGCTCCCCCCCCCAGCGGAGTTTCACAAGGGTTTTCTATTAGAACTTGACTGCATGAGGAAAATGATGAAATACCAAATACCAATAATGTTACACCATTGGCCTATTTGATAAGGACATACAAATGAAACCAACTTTTACAGCCTCCTGGAATGTAGCCTGGTATATTTTTCCCAATAGGCCTGTCCATTTGTTTGTGACTTAACAGCACATCAGTGCATCAATTTACAAAGCTAACATTTAAAAAAGGGAATGCAAAGTACACATGACGGAGCACTAGAAGAGGGTTCTGAAAGTGTGGTGGTCTAGGGATCCCCAGTGGTCTGTGTACTTTGTTCAGGTGGTCTGTCTGCAGTGGGCCTGTGGATTGGTGGTTGCATTCATAGGAGCCAGCTCCTAGGGGCCAAGGTTCCTTCAGTGCCCCCAATAAATATTTGAGGGAGCCCCCCCCAAAAAAAAACGTTGATAGGCATTGCCTTTCAAATGGTGTGCATGCACCACATCTTGTGATCGATTATTCAGGATGGGGCTTACCTGCCCCCAACATTTTATTCAAGTTGGCACCTCTGATTGCATTAGATATTCACGTTGATTTTTAATTCACGTATTCTTTTATTTATTATATTGTATTTTATTATATTACAATTTTAATTATATGGAATTCAATCTGGGATGGGGGGTTATGCGTGCTCAGCCAATTGATGATTAGGGATGTGCACTCATTTTGTAGCAAATGAAAAATCAGACCAAAATGGCCTTATTCTGTTCAATATTCATTCATTCATTCCAAAAGGAATGTCATGAGTAATGAATGAGCATGATTGAGGTTCTTTTTTATTTATTTATTCCACTCACTGTTTCAGGAGGGAGGCTCCCCTTCTCCAAAGGCAGCGAAGCTGATTTTGGTGGACCTTTTTCCAATAATGTCCTGAACACTGCATAATTGGAGGCAGGGGGTGCGTGAGGTGGGGAATGGCAGCTGCCATGGGGAGGCACCATTTTTCCCAGAATGCCTTGAAATAATGCAACACCCATAGCATTTTGGGAGGAAAATGACAGTGATTGAGATGTAAAATAAGTAAAAGATTAAAAAGTAGGAAAATGAATATGAGAAATGAAATGATATGTGAATTTAATGGATGACAAAGAAAACAAATAATATTTTATTGAAGGAATAGCAAACGAATGAGGTGACAAAACAAAGAATGACAAAAGAGTTTCATCTGGAATCGTTTGGTGGTATAACCATGAGCAGAGCACGGCCCGAAAGTGGTTCTGCACCTAAAGTATACAGTTTAAAAAGTTGACTGAAACAAAAAGAACCAATCCTACCATTTGCTTTTCTGGCTACTGGCCTCAAAGGAGTTTTTTTTAAAGCCAAGCTATGCCTGCCTCCCCTTTCCTGAAGTGTTTTGGAGTTTCCTACATGGAAGCTATTCTGATAAGAAGATGTAATAAATTTGCTGTGGGAGGAACAGCACTTCAGATAATGGATGACACAGGCCTTCATCTTAAAACCCAGAAGAGCTAGGTTTGGTCTGGCAGAGAATCCCAAGGACCAGGTGGCTGGTGGCTCCTTGCAATCATCCTTCACTGTAGACGAAGTATATTTTAAGGAGGAGTAGACAGTGAAGAAATGTTGGACTTTATGCTACTCAACAGCAACATCTACAGGCCAGATAGGACCAGGACTGCTGTGTCTCAAAGGAAGTTCATTTCAGCCCCAGCCATTAGGTGGCTGTGCTGAGGAACACCAGAGCACTGAGGAGTGGTTGGCTGTGTTTGTGTGGAGAAGAAGTCTAGATTTGGATAGATATTTGAATAAAACCAATTCTACGAATCATAGGGTGGAGCAAAAAGAAACAAAGAGGGCACTGAAACACCACCCTTGGCCACTAAAAATGTTATGTAGATCTCCCTTTCACCCTGCCTTTAGCTTCCACCAAATCGTGCCTACAAATGTTCATATTTGAACTTGAGGAACTTTTCGTTTTTCCCTCTTTCAAAAACCCAAAGGCGATACAGTTATTACTGCACCCAATATCAGCAGAGATGTAGTATATTTCTGTTCAGATAACAGCACCTGCTTCTAAACATGTGTTTCTACATATAAAATGGGCAATGCAGATTTTAAGCAAATCTGTGCCCTCTTTTTTATTTGGGGATTGGATTTCCTCATTTGTTGGCAATGTGTAGGAGGGCAGCAACCTAAACTGCATGTCTTGGACTAATGTGCAGATTAGAATGCAATTATCCATTGGATTTCACCCTTCTTTGAATGTTCTGATGCAGTTCTCAGCTTTAAAAAGTACCAAAATTCCATATAAAATGTGTGTTTTAGCATAAACTACACTTTAAAATGCGCACCATGTGAGAAATGGATGTTCAAAAATAATATTTAAATTTTCTTGCATTTTTTTTTTAATGCCTCATCTTTTAAATGCTGTAACAGGACAAGACAGACTTTATGTACCAGCACATATGACACTGACACACACTGACCAGGAACAGACTGTTCTGCCCATACCTAGAGGCAGTACAGAAAAGCTAAAATATTATTAATAAAGGAATGGGAAATAATCAAATCAAATGCCAGAGAGCCAGCAAGTCCAGTTTCTAAACAACAAAATTTGTACCTTAATCCCAAGAAATGGCTGCTTGCAAAGAGCCATTGTTTCTACCATGCAAAACCAAGCTGTTCATGCAGTACTTCTTTAATTAAGATTTAAATCTCTTCTGAGATGGAAACCCCCTGCTGCATTCCATCGACAAAATACATTTCTAGCACGTTTAATAAAGTGCATGCAGATTGCCAGTGGCAATGAGGTGGAAATGACTAGGCGTCATTTAATCATCCCATATTTACTATGGCGTGGCAGATAAAAATGCAAACTTTCAGGCCGAGAATATGTGGTTGGATGGAATAGCTTTGCTTTCAAGGGGACCATATGGTTCTCTGCAACTGCAATTGCAAGTATAAAATGAAGATAATCTCCCTCAAGGTGTGGCTGGCAGCCTTTGCTCTCCTATATTGCAAGGGCAGCTGGGCAAACTCCAGCAAGTGTTCAAAGGCTTCCAGGGAGACGTAGTCAGTGCCAGATACACACACACACACACACACACACACACACACACACACACGTTCATTCCATTGCACAGCAGGGATCTATAGCAACATAAACGGAAAGACCATGTTCACTTCATTGGCGTTATTAATTTTCAATAAGGGAAAAGAAATAAAACCGTCTGTAAGTGTTCTCGAGCAGTTAATTTGCAACCTGAATGAAGTTGTCCACTGGGAATGGTCACTCAGTTTTTATCTTGTATGCATTTGGTCTGGGAGGAGGAATGTGGTCCCAGTTATTCATTCACCCTGACTTTTTGTCTCACCTTTCAGCTAAAATATCCCCATTGTGCCAAAATTTCTGTTTTCTCATAATGGACCTGGATACATGTGTGTGTTTGCATGTGCTATTACCGTATATTTCCGTGTATAAGACTAGGCTTTTTT